AAGGGTTTGGAGGTGTCACGGTCTGCTCCACTGAAGGGTTTTGAGGTGTCACGGTCTGGTCCGCTGAAGGGTTTGGAGGTGTCACGGTCTGGTCCGCTGAAGGGTTTGGAAGAGGCACGGTCTGGTGCGCCATAGGGCTTGATTTGATCCGCGACGGAGATGCTAATCTGGCACGTGGTTCCAATGAGCCAATGCCCGTGCATCAAGCAAAAACAGCAAGGTTGAGACGCCATGATGGTGCAAAAGAGAGGGTTGCGACTGAGTATGACCATAAGTTTCATCGCTTGGGTTGCGCCAAACTTTACACGGTGAATGCTCTTGAGGAGATCGATGGATGGTGTTGTTGCATTGACCCGTGGCTATGGGCAATACAAGTTTTGCAAGCCTTGACGGCTACAGTGATGCATGGCGCAATGTGCTGGTTCCATGATGGTTTGGGGCCACCCTTTGTTGCACTGGAGAGGGTTCAGTATTTGAACGTCCTTCTTCATCGAAGAGGTGGCAAGGGTAAGGGGGGAATGGCAGTCCCTACATGATTCCTACACCTAGTCCCCTGAACCCAGTCTCCAGTTCCCTACCCTCAATCCTAGACCCCGCACTACTATTGGCAGCTTCCCCATGAAGCACCACCCTCTAGTTCCCCTTTAATGAAGGCGAAAGAAGAGCCTAGGGAAAACCGAAGAGGGTAGTATCGGGGCCAGGTGGTAGGGAAACCCATGGCTTTGACATCAATCGTATTGAAGGGCCGATGATTTGAGTTTCAGCCAGGTTGGGGCCTTAATGGACTTGGTGCCTTGTTGGGTTCCGGCGCCCGAAAAACAAGGTAGCCAGAAAAGTGACCAGAATTTGGAGAACTCACTAACATATCTCTTCAAGAGGGGTCTCACATGTGGTGAACCATGATTGGATGGTGGATGTTGACACTAGGGCTCATAGAACGACCCAGTGGAGTTTGTGTTGAATCTTGTCCGTCACGCTATCCTGAGTCTCCAATAATCCGAGCACTAGAACAATAAAAGGGACCATGTTTAAAGACGTTTTTGGATAGAATTAGGTTCCAAAGACTAGCTACAATTAGGTGGCTTTTCGTATGGGGAAAAGGGACCAGATTTCAAGAAAATTTTCGGGGAACCTATCCTGATGATGGAGAGATTCAATACATTCCTATTCATTTTTTAATTAATGGAGGTCCAAGAGCCCCAATGACGCAGGAACGCATTCCTATTCTTTTTAATTGAGTTCCAAGAGTCAATCATTCTTTTAATCTGGCGGCCCCATTCCGTATTCTGGCGGTGGGGGGCGGGCCCTCCCAAATTAATCAAGTGCTTGGATTGAATCCATCAAAAATCTTACTCCGGGCCCTGAAGTCTACAAGGTATTTCACCAGATTGTATAGACCCCAAGATATTATGGTCCTTACTCTAGGGACCCCCCCCCAAAAAAAAAGATGTTTAGCGCCTAAGCCCCTAATGTATGGAAACCCCCGCATCAGGCTCACAGCCTGAAGACATGCGCCCCGCTCAGAGGTTTAGGGTTTGTTGAGCGTTGTTTAAGGTTTAGGATTTAGGGCTCAGAGGGCCAAGAAGTGCCCAGGTTTAGGTGAGTTTTAGGATTTGGGGGTCAGGGTTGGGGGTTAGGGGGCTAGGGGGGGGTGCATACGAACATATGGGAGCATAAAGGGATGTATACGGATAAACAGGGGTAGAGGTTTAGAGTCAATGAATCAGGGTTTAGGGTCTAAGGTTTAGGAATTGAGGATTGCGGTTTAAGGCTTCGTTCTTGTTATTTAGAGCGCTGGGCTTAGATCCTGGGACGGGTAGATCTGGTGGGCGCCGTGAGGACATCGATTGACAGAAAGATTACGTCGGATTGCTCTATGCCTGGAGTATTACACGTAGGCTATGTGTAGACATTCGTAGCTGTGACCCAACGCTAGCCAACGCAAGCGCGGGAATTCTGACTCGGAGTTTGAGGGGTCTGCGATCATGTTTGAAAGCGCTTGCTGGTTCAGCATGTATTTCCTTGGTTTGCATGCAGGCAGAGTATGTTTTGCAAATGCTACGCGTCCGTAGTTGCTTCGAACCTTTACTTGCAAGGCGTAAAACATGCCACCACCAGCCAGAATCCGGCATCAGTGACCCGGCATTAGTGTATTGTAGAAGTAGTTCCTGACATTGATCATGAAGCCCTGGGCATGAGCTGGACGTAAATTAGTTGACAAGTGTGACGGATGATCTTAGGGTTTAGGGTCTATCTAGAAACCCTACCACTTTTTGGAGGTTACCTTACTTTGGGCCGAGCATCTTTTGTGAATGATCTTAGGGTTTAGGGTCTATCTAGAAACCCTACCACTTTTTGGAGGTTACCTTACTTTGGGCCGAGCATCTTTTGTACACAAACTCAGGTATGCTACAGGGGGGTTGGCTTGGACATCTGCACGCATGAAACCCAAAGCTCCACGGTCCAATCAGCAGGCTGCGGTGAGGCGGTCGCACAGACGATCGTGCGATTTCATCTTGTCAGTTGCTTCCATGGATTTCCAGAGTTCTCACAGACCCAAACCCTGCTTGATCTTCATGTGCCAGAAAGCGGAAGTTGAAAAGCTTATTGACTTCTTGCAGTAGCGCAGTAGAGAGCAGCCGTCTGTCTCTTTCGCTTTTGAGCCGCAAGTTTGCACTGCCAGAGTCAGGGGTCATTGTTTCTGGCATTTGGGGTTCGAAGTTTGCGGGGTCCCAGCACAGGCCAGACTCCGAATTCGGGGTCTACCTAGACCCTTGAACCCTACTTGAAACGAGGTCTAGTATCCTTTAGTTACAAGCTTAGATACCCAAAGAGGGCAGGGTGTAAGGATCTAGGCTGGAAGATAGCATTCCCTTAGAGGTTCGTTGTAGACAGTTGCAGCTTCTAGACAGAGCCCGTGTTGAGCTTTGCTATCTTGATCACTAGCACGTTGTGCTACAGATGCTGACATGTCGCATGGCATCCCAGTACCTGTTCTATGCAGATATCATGCCTCGACATCAAAATACCACATTCAGCTATCCACATCCATGAATGCATTCACTGGCCCGCCTGTTTAACGCTAAGGGCTCAACCGTACAACACCTTCGACACTGCGTGGAACTCAGGAGATGAGCGAATGGCTGCAGCAACCTAAATCCTAAATCCGGAATCCTGAGCCCTAAACCCCAAACCCTGAATCGTAAACCTTAAGCCCTAAATCCTAGATCCTAAACCCTAAACCCCGAATCAACCCTAAAACCTGAACCCAGTCACCCGCGCCATAGACTTCTCGGGGCGCGCTTGATTCATTGACAGCCAAGGCCTCGGTTTGAGCCGGGAGAATAGGCATAGAAAGCCGTGATCACAGGCCTTTGGCCAAAATGAGCGCAACAAAACTGGGGGTTTTAGGGTCTAGGGTTATGGTTTAGGGTTCTTGCGGTTTTTGGAATTAGGGGTGCAAGAACTCAAATCCCTAACAGGAGCCTCCCGAAACCTAAAGCCCTAGAAACCCTAAACCCTAGTAACCAAAAATAGTTAGATTTTGTTCCCTGGACTGGACGGACGGAATCCTGGTCTCGTCGAAGCAATGACTGGTATGTCGCACCTCACCAAGATTTAGGGTTTAAGGTTCATAAGGCACGTCTGCGGGGCATAAAGGGGACCTTCCTTGCACCCTTATGTGGGGATATATGGCCTTTAACAGTGGGCACTAAAAGGTTGGAGGAGGGTTTAGGGATAGACATGGGGATAGAAGAGAACATGGATACCACTGTGTTTGATTTGTAGGCTTCCCATTGTTACCTGAGGATTGATGAGCAAGGGGCACATGATTGCAACATTCAATGGATGCGCGGCATGCTCCTACTGCCCTAAACCCTAACAATAACCTAAACCTGTACCCGCATCCCATAGCAGGGGTCCACAGACGTCATCTGCAACGCTGTTCAAGCTGCTAGTGATAACCCAAACCTGCTGATGAAAAGCCCTGGAAAGCAAGACAGTTTAAGATTAGGGCTTAGGGATGCTTATCCCACAATATTCACTGCGAGTCTTCAATATAGCTAAGAGTTCAAGACAATCTTCCCCCAGCCCTCTTCAATTGTTTCGGCCGGTGCATGGTAGTCTAGGGGGGCCCTCATCAAGACCCATGTCATTAAGATCCTTATCATAAGACCCCAAAAAGGCACCGCTAAGTCTAGGAAACCCAGAACCTGTAAACCCCAGTTTCCTTTTGTCTCTTGCATTTGATTCCCCATTGTTCCCACAATATCCCTAAACACACAACCCTGACTCACCCAAGTCTAGACACCAAACCCTAAAATCTGCATTGAGAAGTTAGTGACATCGCCTTTGTGCCGTGGGTGCCATGCGCGGTCTCAACCTTCCGGCTACGCAGGGCACCAGCAATGCTGGAAACTTTCTGCCAGGCACAGGGTTTGGGGTTAAGGGTTAGGGTTCAGGGTTTAGGGCTTATAGCTGAGGATTTCGAGTTTAGGATTTAGGGCTTAGGGCTAAGATTTTGGGTGTGGGATTTGGGGTTTAGGGTTGCTACAGTTACAAGGGTATATAGGGTTTAGGGTTCATGATTGCAACTATGTGAGGCCAACTTTGTCTTGAATGACCTGGAAGGGCTAAAGGGTCCAAGTACCCAAATACCTACTGGTGGTTAGTAGGGCAGAAGGGCATTTAGGGTTAGGGTTTAGGGTTAGTAGGGAACAATAGAACGTAGGGTTCAGGGTTGTGGGTTTAGGGTTAGCAGGTAAGATGGGAATATATTCCCTATATAACATGTTCCCTTATTCCCTACAAACTCCCAATAGGAATATCATAATGTGGGCCCCAAGTCTAGATAGAGGGAGACCTGTCTGGGCCCAAATTACACCCTAAACCCATCCTGGGCAGGTGTTTACGGCCAAGGCGAGGGTGAACATCTCTGCGTTTGTAAAGGCGCCCAGGATATGCGGAGAAAACCTTGTGACCTTGTAACCTCAGGGGTTCCTCCCACCATCCCCCTGTCTACTCTCCTGCAAAGTTCTCTTCAATAAGCTTTAATTGGCTGTGATAGTCCTCAGGCAATCTTACTGAACGGGGAGCTAGGGGGGAAGGGGAACTTCGGAGGGCCTGGTCCCTCAAGCACCAGAACTCGTGAAGCATAATTGGGACACTGGGACAATGTCGTCAAGAGGTGGTATTGTCTGCCCATGTGTGAGCAAGCACATCGCCAATCACCTAGGGAGTTTCCGTAACTAAGTAGCAGCTACTTGATGTTTTTGGAGGAAGATGTTCACACATGAGCCCACGCATTGCGCCAACCAGTGCTCACTGTGGATTTTTTCTGTTGGCAAGCCACCTCCCGGCTATTTTGTTAAGCCCAGATCTGCTTTTCTTGAGAACCTTATATAGCAAGTCCCCAAATTTTGCAGGCGTCTATCAATTTGACTACACGGCGGAGGACTTGGACAAGGCAGCTGCCATTATTGTCAGTCAGGTATAGGGGGCTTAGGGTTCAGGGTAACCCTGAACCCTAAACCGCGCAGTTCTCGGAGCTGACAGCTTCATGGAGAAGCATGAAGGTCAAGATCTGAAGCTTCAGCCTTCACATGCACTCTTAAAAGGGGGCTCCTTATAGGCGATTATATAGGGGGAGTATTACAGGGGTTATTAAGGTGGATGCTAGGAGTTTAGACTATAGCTGACATGATTCAAGGTCAAGACCATTATATAGTAGTCTTTGCTCCCAACCGCTAGATCCTGAATCTGAAACCTAAACATTCAGTCATGAACCCTAAATCCTAACCCCATATCCTAAACCCCAAACCCTAAATCCTACAACCTAAATCCTCAACCCTAAACCATGTTTGAAATCACGAGGTCAACTTGTTGTCTAAGAGTAGCCTGGAGCATATAGGATTAGTTGGGGTTTCACAGGGACAAATAGGAGGATATAGCCATATAGTTGGGTCTACAGGGTGGATATTGTAATTCCTGCATGACCCCAGATAGCAAAAGCCTTCGTAGTATACTGTCCTATACTATATTATACAGATGTCCTGCAGGATTTAAACACATTAGCCCTAAACCCTATTTTCTGAGTTGGGAGGTAGGTTCGGCACTTGAGCGAGCTTTGAACCGAAGTCGCGCAACAGGTACTGCCAATTGGGGTTTCCAGAAATCAGAAAGCTATAGTCTAAGCTCCTTAAAGGGGCTTTATGTAGGTGACTATATCAGGAATTATTAGAAGGATTATTAAGGGGGATACTAGGAGTTTAGACTATGGCTCAGAGAGCCCGATATAGGTATGCCTAAATTATGATCCTTCGAGGGGCTCCCAAAGAGGGACACCCCCAATTTGAAGGCACACCAAGCTGTTTTGCATAAAGCTCTTTCGTACAGACCCCAATATACTATAGCCCTTATTGTAGGGGCTCCCAGAGCGGGGCGTGTTTTGGGAACTCTCATTCTAGGCACACAAAACTACTGCAAATTGCATGCGAGGTTCGTCAGAAGCGATTCGATTCCCTGCGGCTGCCAGCTTCTTGTTCTCTGATCCTGGGGATCCAAGTCTAAGTTCCATACTTTTCTGTTCATATTGATGTTCATAACGTATATGTATGTTGATATGTATATATATATATGTATATGTATATGTATGCATATTTGCTGCGGGCCCTTCAGTCTGTAGATTACACCTCCTTTGGGTTACCTGGATCCCGCCGGTGGCGGGTGGTGGTTGTGTCGTTCTGCAGGATAAGGGCTCCAATTCCACCAATCGCGGACAGCGCTTCACAGTTGAGAGTAACATCCTGCATTACCCTTAGTGCCTTACACCATGGAAGTTGTGATATCAGAGTATACCATATCATCCAGGAAACTTTCCCAACAGTAGCACAGCAGCGCATCATGACGTCTAAAACAATTGTTTGGCTTACACCGTCTTCTTTGCTTATTCGCTGCCGGTGCATGGAGTTTCAAGACACCTGCAGTGCCCAGAGTTATCCCAATATGTTTTTTTCTTTTGCAGTTTGTGTCCTCTTCGAGCTTCTGCGCCCAGAGACCAAACCCTTCATGTGTCAAAGGTGAACACTGCGACCGCTGGCGACCATCAGTCTCTGAAGTCGCTGGCCAGCACTGCCCCCTCGTTTCTGCTGCAGCTCATAGTCAATTATAGGCTTTGCAAGCAATACAGGACTGATGGGCTGATAGGATTGAAACTGTAGGCTTGAGAACTCATTAGAAAATCGATGCGCAAGCATGTGGTATTAAATTTGTTCTTAAGCATAGCATGATCGGCATCACTATCTTTCCATTCTTCATCCTCCTCGCCGCGACTGTGCCAGCACCACACCGCCACCACCCGCGCCCGTACCAGCACCAGCGCCACCGTCCGACCTCATTGGCTGCTGTAGGTTGTCAGTGGTTGCTGTTGTTTTTCCATAGAAGTCAAAATAGCCTGAAGCGCCTATTACTTCTGGACTTTAGGGCTCAAATTACCTCACCTCAAGCCCGCAACCCTGAGCCTTAAGAAAGTTGAAGGCTAAGCAGTCTGACGCAGGGCGCTGCAGGCGTACTTTGCGGCCGTAGGCGGACAAGGTGCCCTGGCTAAGTTTGAACCATTCAGGGTTAAGGGTGTAGAGTTCAGGGTTTGGAGTTAGATCCTAAGCCCTAAACCTCAGCTATAACCAGGTTATACCTTCAAGTCTATTCTAACTCCCATTATAGAAAGCATTCATGTTTTCCCACCTAGAACTCAAGGAGGGTGATTCCTAAGACCATACTTCGAGGCCTCAGTGCTTTTGCAACCCTACTAGGTGATATATTGACATAAAGTAGGATGTTTACTATGGTGTTTTGGTGAGAGCCTATATTTGGTGTCCAATTTGGAGGGCCTTGAATAAGAGCCAGCCGCTCGGCTGTCTCACCGTGCCAATGACTATGAAACATGTCCGTCCTACCTTGAATGAGAGCCACGGGTCCTGTCCCCTTATTAGCCACATAGGAACCCCGTCGTAGTCAGCTATATGTAGGTGCCCTAACAACTAAATCATGAACCCTAATTTGAGGTTCCTTTTGATAACCCCCCCCATCAGAGTTCCGAGCAGACCAATCTGGAAA